CAGAATTTTTCCGGAATTCCTAATTCCGGATATATTTTGAAAGTTTATAACAAAATAATTAGTTCAGGTAACGAACCAACCTCTTTTAAAACAGTTAAAATTATTGCATTTAATAAACCTGGGAAAGAGGGAAGTGAAGCAAACCATTACCGTCAAATTTCATTATTGAGTAACTGTTACAAACTTCTTAAAAGACTCATTTATATTAGGATTGCCCCTCTAATAGACAAAGTACTGCCAAAGCAACAAGCCGGCTTTTGCCCGGAAAGATCATGTTGCGAACAAGTTAAAGCACTTAGCACCTTCATTGAATCAGGATTTCAAAAGAATATTAAAATCGCTGCGGTCTTCGTAGACCTTACAGCAGCATATGATACAGTATGGCGAGAAAGACTACTGCTTAAATTTAGTAAAATTATTCCTTGCTCAAAGTTAAACAAGTTACTAAATAATTTCTTAGTAAATAGAAGAATCCGGGTACACATTAATGATTCACAAAGTAGCTGGAGAATCCTAAATAACGGACTACTTCAAGGTTCCATCTTTAACGTACAGAGTTCATCTAGAGAGAATAGCTCAGAAACTATCGACCCGAAATAATATCATCACTAAGCCAGCTGGTTCTAGTTGGGGAGCGAACACCAATTCTCTCAGAACGGCAACTCTTGCGTTGGTTTATTCCACAGCTGAATACTGTTGTTCTGTTTGGCTAAACAGCAGCCATGTTTCAAAAATAGACGTACAGCTCAATCGATCAATCAGAATTATCTCTGGGACACTAAAATCAACTCCTCTACCTTGGCTACCAGTCTTAACAAATATTCTTCCTCCGCATATCAGGCGAGGAGACTTCCTAAGGTGAGAATGAGAGAAGTACACTAAAACTCCTTCAATACCGCTATATGATGAAATAAAAAATCTATCACCGTTGAGATTGAAATCACGAAATCCTGGCTAGCCGGATAATCCCGGTACATACCTTACCTTTAAAGAACTGTGGAAAAAAGAATGGAGTACAAAAAATCCTTATAATTACGAACTTTTTGAGGATCCAGATCTTAACCTTCCAGGATTTAACTTACTAAGGAGGTATTGGTCGAGAATAAACCACTTTCGCTGCGGGTAAGGAAGATCAAACCATCTGATGAAGAAATGGAAACTAACAGACTCAGAATTATGTTAAGTTGATGGAATGATCCAGACTATGAAACACCTTGTAGATGAGTGCCCGACATACCATTTTCCAGGAGGTATAAAAAGTTTGCATGTATTGGAAGATGACACCGTCCGTTGGCTGTCCGATTTGGAAAAAGAAGCGTGAATTCGTTTTAATTACTATATTTATCTTGTTATTCTTATTACTATACATAATAATTCATATTTTATAATTGTTATCACCTATATCACATACAAATATATATAAATATACATACTGGACTGATTCTTCTCAATGATACGGCAAAAGATCACAAATCGTATTTAGTTAAGACATTACCCTCAAAAATTGAAAATTTTTTTCTAGTTTCCCGTAGAAATCCCCCAAAAAATTATGATTTTTAAAATTGGTAAATTACGACATTTTTTTCACTTTTTTCCTAAAAATTGCTATAACTTATTGAAAAATGCATAAATTTAAATAATTAAATTGAGATTATGTAAAGTTGAATGTGTGGGGGGTATAAGGGTGGAGCCCCACGTTTTTGTGAGCGACTTATAATTGTAGCACCTCCAAGATTTGAACTCTAGTTGCGCCACTGATGACTCATCAGTCGTATAAAGGCTTTTTCATATCGAAGGCTAATAAACACACTATAAATTTTGAATTAAAGTGTAGCCGCCAAATTGATTTCAGCGTTAAAATTAGTATAGACGGTACTTTAGGTTTTCATCAAAAGATACTGGAAGAAAACAAAATACACAAATGGGTTGCTAATATAAATAATTTAACAAGTATAAAAATAAATTGTAACGTTGCATATGATGCTTTTGATAACGGAATTTCGTATTAAGAAATAAGATGTGATAATCTTAATATTCTTTCTGCTTTGAGATATACGATTAACAATGAAAGATATTTTAAAAGTGATGGAAATACCATAAAATGAATATCGCATACTGAAATTGAATTATTTTTTCTATCAACCGTTTTCGGTTAGCGCTCTATCAAATAATAATGAGATACGAATATGTATTCGACAGTAAGATATTTACACCTTCCCATCTGATTTCTTTCTTTTGATGGATAAAGAACTCTCGGTAGTTCATTTTAGCTTCAAATGTACAATTGATTAAAAATTGGTTAGCTCACTGCTTCGCCGAATTATTGAACTCAATATAAATAAATAGATTACGTATGCCTAATATAATGTCTACAATAAAAGGATACGTACTTTTTCACCAAACGATCGTATACGGTTTGAAAATGCTGGCTGGAGTATTATAATTCAAATTCGAGTATGAAATTTGAAGTAGCATATCTCTAAGATTATTATTAGGATTTACCATAAAAAATGTCGTCGTTAATTGTCGTCAAAATTTAATATCGCATTGAATGTTACAAATTTAAATTGTATTTACTCGACACATGACTCATGCAGCTTTATCGAACTGTAAAATTATTTCGAACAAAATTATATAGAGAGTTCCACGCAGAAGTTTTTCGGATGCCATGCGATTGACACGGCCACGGCGTTGTCACCCATGTGACACTCCGCGGTAATGCCAGAACCTTCTCGGGCACCGCTCCGCTATAAACGGGGCCGTTGCACTCACACGTTATCGTCGTGGTGTTAAGTCCAACAAATGCCTAGCGCCGAATACCCGCCATAATAACGTGTTTATCTGTCATACCGTGACACCCATAACGTTTTGTCGACCGTATTAACACACGATTTTTGATTCGTCGAAAGACATCGACACGGGTAAATTTTAGTATCAATATTATTATTTTGGTTCTTCTTGATCGTTTGTTGTATCTTTCTGTATGGCTCCCTGCCAAAATCGCTGCGTAACCTTGTGTTGTTTTTTTATTATTGCACCAAATGTTATTATACCCTCAACAGGGTTAGACATACTCAAAATCCTGGAAAACTTAACACCGCTTCAAATAGCATTCCGAATTTGAGATCATATAAAAATCCTGACTTACCAAATAGTTAAAGACAAGTCTTGACTCGTCTTTATTTTTAAGATTTCGGAATGAGAGTCCGAGATTTGTTATTGTGGCTTTTTAAGTGGATAGAAGACACAAAATAAACAAAAATAGTAATGGATTTGACTATTGTTCGTTATCAATTCTAAAAGTATAGTATAACTCAGAATCGTACCCATATGACAACTTACGAATGGACTTATCGAATAATAAGTATGCTGTACTATATCACATGTACACTTAATTCCAAGAGACGTTCTATGAAATGAGATAGTGAGTACGATGCTCACGAAAACAGAATTCAAGGCAATTGCTCCACTCATTGCATTGATTGTTTAAGACAAAACGAAAACTTAAAACATGCGCTAGTATATATTAGATTAGAATTTAATCTGATGAAAATTTTCCAACCAACACTAGAGAATATTTATATTTATTTGAAAATACACAATAAAATGTTAGAATATAATGTTAGGATCAATGAAGTTCATAAAATATTACAATTTGTTTTTTCTAAAAAAAATGTAAAATTTTATATTTATAATATACTAATAATTATATATTTTACTATTACAAAATGTGTTATTTATTTTAATGACTTATTCTTAAAATATTTCATTTATTCAGTATATAAATCGAATGCATATAGTTTAAATTATAAAACGCTATGTAAAAATAAAACGAATTTTAATAACGTCAATAACAATTATAGTATTGCGATAACGTTGATGTTGAAAATTTAATTACTTTAGCGTCTAGTAGCAGTTGATAAAATTCTTAGAAATGTTAGCTATACCTTTAATAATATACAGACAGTATCGCTATTGTCCTCATAAAAATGTTTGTCATATTTTCAATTTGGAAACTCATTTAGACACACCCCTTCCATATGCACTAATCGGTGAGTGAGGGATTAAGTGAGGAAACGGAGTCCTCTATTTTACCTCTTCTGCTAATATATTGCATCATATATTATTAATATTGCTAATATATAATATATTGAATAAAATAATAAAAACTGGTTATTTAACAGTCAACATATTATTTAGACTTTTCACTATTTAATAGCAAAAAAAATAATGTTAATTTGTAACGTAACAAAAAGATGCCACTTCAATTTTTGTATATTTGTACAATGTTCAATTATTTTTTTGTTTAACCGAATGCGTATTGACGGAATTTAATATTTTTTTGTTTTGGATAATTTATAATAAGTTTGTGCGCGTTATATGTGTTATAATTGCTACATCGACAAACAGGTTAGCAGATATTAATTTGTGTACACTCCACTCTCCGCCCTTTCTAATTCACTGATGCACTGAAAGCCACTAAACATATCATTGTATATTGCATTGTTTAGTGTGGCATAAATAATTTTTGTACCTTGTTTTCAGTAATTTTTGACTGACTTTAACCACTCTCAAAGACTCGAAAATTTGTGAATACATGCCAAATTAAAGGTTATGCTACTTAGTATAAGTTAAACAAAAATATTTCCCAAATACTTCTCTTCCATATGTAAAATAAATTCTCTCGAAGTTATAAGTTTCTTTTGCTGAAAAAAATTACTGCATCTCGTATTATTTTCTACTTCATTTTTTTTCAATTATGAATAGTTTTATAGGGGAAGTAACCTTTTTCTTTATCTCCCCTTACAGAAAAATAAATAAAATTTAAGTGTTAATATTAAATATTTTTTCAGTTTTTAATTATTATTCATAGTGTAAAAAATTTAAATTTTTTAGTGTTCTTACTGAGTTTCTTAAAATTTTGATCTTTTTTCTTGGCATTTATTACATGTATTAAATTTTTAATCTCATTATTGAAATGTTTTAAAATCTTTTTTAAGTCATCTTCCATCTAAGAAAATTATAAATATTTTTAATACATTAATACAATAAATATAATAATGAACAAATCAATTACTGCAGTGGGAACTTGCAAATCGCAAGTTTTCATTATTTCAGCAATTATAATGGCTACGTTGTGTAATGTATCTTGAATATCATGAACTTTTTATTAAATATACATTAGGTATAATCTATATATAATAGGTAATATAAATATAAAGTTATGAGACTTTATCTCTAATATTTTGTAATGTTGCAGAATTTATACAAGTTTTTGTTTAATAAATCTTATCAATTAGATTGATAAGATAATCAATTGTGTGGTAGGTGTAAAGTATTTTAATAATTGTGTATGTGATAACCACCACTAGTCAACCGGTCCGATATCTGTCATCCTATCGTCATCAGCTGACCGTACACTATGCACCTATACCCATATTGTTGTATTCCCCCCAATGGACGTGTCAAAGTTGGTACTACCACCAACCGGCGTCACAATCACCGAACACTACGAATGCCGCGACAACGGATTTTTTTTTTCAACCAAACTACTGAGACGACTAGACGTATTTTGTCTATAGTTTTTATTTTGAAAACCACGTTTTCTTTTATTTTTTTTTGTCCTCCGTTTTTAGCTTAAATAGCTAATTTTAAAATGCGACGAAAGCAACGAACAGTTGATGAATGGATAACACCTGTGTCTTTCACGCTTAGGGTACAAGGTTCAAATCCGTCTGTGGTTCTCAATATTTTGCATTTTTTTTTGGAGTTAGAATAGAATTTTCAAATCATTTGATATTTATCTCATTTTGATTCAATAATTTCAATAAATATAATGTTGTGGATCCTTTCACTCTTAATTTACAATAACTATTTTAATAAATTAAATAGACAAGTTATTAGAAGTATAACATTTTAATATAAAAAGCACGCGACACAAACCGGTCTCATCGAATGCCGGTCAACGACTGATAACGACATTATTATAGAGAGTGTACACCACATCCTCCCTTCAATGTATATACAATAAAAACAAAAATATATTTTTTTTTATATAAAAAAAATACATAATATTATAAATAGACTTATAAAATATTAAATGTTAATCGTTATGATATATAATAATTAAACATGTAAACATATACTATTTCATGACACATAAAATTAAACATATATTAATTTAAAATATTACGTATACCGTTTAGGTCGACATAGCTTTTCACGAGGACGAAGTTTGTGTTCCCGAGGTTCATCATTACTTTTTATTTCCATACTCTTATTATTATAGGATAATTTGTTTTCATTTCCCCATATTACCCCCTGTTTTAATATTAAGTGTTCTCTCGTCCTTCGGTACCTCACTCCATCTTCCCCCGCCACAATAAAAGACCTCGGAGTACTGGCTAAATCTACTACTTTCCCTCGCACCCATTTTTTTATGTTGTAGTCTGTCTTAAATAACACATTATCCCCAACTTGTAACTCTTTAAGATTTTATGTATATAAATAAAATTTATATTATGAAATTGATATTTTTATCATGATAATTTTTTTGTTTTTGTTTTCTGCTCAAAAGATCATTTTTTATTTGACTTAAACTTAACTTAAACGGCTCTAATAAATTATTTACTACCGGTAACTTATCTTTTAATCTACGAGACATCAACAATTGAGCCGGTGATAGCCCCAAACCCTCTATTGGTGTGTTTCTATAGTTCAACAGAAATATATCTAAATTGCTCTTTTTCTCCTCTGATTTTTTTAAGATTTTTTTACATGTACTGACAGTCTTTTCTGCCTGTCCATTGCTTTTAGGATAATGCGGACTACTATAAATTGATTTAATGTTCCATTCAGTGCAAAAGTGTTTAAATTCTTGACTGTTAAATGGAATGTTGTCCGAAACAATCTCATCCGGGCAACCATGAATAGAAAAAATATTTATAAAGGTTTCTATTACCTGTTTAGCAGACTTATCTTTAATTTTTCTAAGCTCAAACCACTTTGAAAAATAATCAGTTACTACTAGATATGACTTTGATTTATACTCTAAAATGTCTGTGCCTATTTTCTGCCATGGCCTACACGGAATATCATGAATTAACATCGGTAATTTACTATTGTTACTTTTAAATGTATCATATAATTCACAATTATTTACAATTTTTTCAATATCATTATCGATTTTAGGCCAGTAGATTAACTCCCTTGCTCTAGATTTACATTTATTAATACCAAAATGACCTTCATGTAAAACATTTAAAACATATGCCCTCATAGCTCGTGGAATGACTATTTTATTATTAAAGAATAACACACGATTAACAACTGTCAAATTTTGTCTTATTTTGTAGAAACTAGACATCTCTCCCTGTATGCTATTACTGTTGGGCCAATTATTATTTACACATTCTACAATCATTCTATACTCATGATCACCATCTATTGCCTCTGTTAATCTATTTAAAGTTTCAGTACTTATCGGACAAACAGTTTTTATGTCGTGTATATTATGATACACGTCCTCGATAACATTTTTATTACCAATATCATTATGAAGATAATCTCTACTGAGCGCATCCGCAATAAACATTTTTGAACCGGGCAAATATTCTAATTGTATATCATACATAACAATTTTTAAAAGCATTCTTTGTAGTCTAGGTGAAACTTTGTTTAAATCTTTTTTTATTATCGACACCAAAGGCTTATGATCCGTCTTTAATAATATGGGCCTACCATAAATAAAATAATGGAATTTTTCACAGGCAAAGACTATTGCCAGCAACTCTTTTTCTATTTGAGCGTACCTTTTCTGTGTTTCAGATAAACTTTTAGACGCATAAGCTACAACTGAACCCTCTTGCAATAAAACTGCTCCTACGCCATCTTTTGATGCATCAGTTTGTACTTCGATTAATTTGTTATCATCAAAGTGTGCAAGAATTGGTGAACACGTTAATAATTTTTTTATTTCATTAAATGAGTTTTGTTGTTTATCTGACCATTCCCACTCTATTTTATCTTTTGTTAACTCTCTTAATGGTGCGCTAACATTGCTAATGTTTGGTACGAATCTAGTGAAATATTTTACTATACCTAGAAATCGCATTACTTGTTTTTTATTTTTAGGAATCTCTAGTTTAGAGATTGCATTTAAATGATCAGGATCTATTTTAATACCAGCCTTACTTACAATAAAGCCTAACATTTTTACCTGTGATAGTTTGAACTGTATTTTTTTTCATTAAGTGTTATACCTGCTTTTATAGCTTTTTCTAAAACCTCTTTAAGTATTTCATCGTGTTTTTTTTCATTTTCGGCAGCTATATATATGTCATCTATATATACTTTTACACCTTCTATACCTCCAAAAATTTCAGAATTTTTACTTTGGCATACTTCAGACAATACTGACAACCCAAACGGACTTCTAATAAATTTATACCTTCCGAAAGGTGTTGAGAAACAACAAAGGTCTGCTGACTTTTCGTCGAGCTTTATTTGATGAAAAGAGCTTTTCAAATCTAAGACGGTGAAAAAAGTTTTATTTTTTAAATCAGATAAAATTTCTTCATGATTAGGAATAGGATAAGAGTCTTTTACTATATTCTCATTTAGATACTTCGGATCCAAGCAAATTCTTAAGTCGCCGTTTTGTTTTTCAACTAACACTATATTATGAACCCACGATGTTGGACTATCTACTTTAACTATGACATTTTGTTTAACTAAATCATCTATTGTATTTTTTAGTTTTGGTAGTAGACTCTTTGCTACTCGACGAGCTGGGAAAGATATTGGTTTAACATCTTTTTTTAGTTTAATTGAATACGGTCTACCAGGATAAGTTCCCAACCCGTTAAAGACTTTAGGGTAGTTTGAAATTAAATCTTGTTTACTAAAAAAATGAACCTCGTTTACCGCATTGACTTCTTTACAAGATATTCTCTTAATTAAATTTAATTTTTTACAAGTATTTAACCCTAGTATGGGACGACATTTAATATCTACTATCACAAATTTTATCTTACACTTAAAATTATTTACTATACTATCCAAAACTATTATGCCACAAGGACTTAATATGTTATTATTATAAACTACTAACTTTATATTAGTTTTCTCCAGTTTCAACTCCTTTTGCAAAACATTGTGTAATGTGTCGACTCCCATTACATTTGCTTGTGAACCCGTATCCAATTTGCATGTCACTTCCTTGCCTTCTATGATTATCCTTTGTGTCCATTCCGTTTCATTTTCTAACATGCATGAGACCGAATCCAGAAAATATTTTTCTTCATCGCCTTCATTCGTTTCGCAAACATGAATATCAACATTACCTGGTTTTTCTTCTTTTTCTTCCCGTTGACTTATTTTATATTGCTTACAGCCTATTTTGAAATGATTTTTTTGTTTACAAAATGTGCATATTTTGTTAAAAGCTGGACAATTTCTCCGACTATGATTTCGACCACATTTAAAACAATCATAGGTTAATTCACATTTGGTTTGAACAGTCCGTTTATTTTGAATATCTTGGCCCTCGGTAGTTTGTTTTCTGTTAGAGAAATCAGCGTGTTTTTTTACTATACTGTGCGTGTTTAACTCTCTAGTAGCACTAAACATTTCATTAATTTGTTCTTTGGTTGCTACCCATTTTTTTGCTATATCAATCGCCTTCTCTAATGTCACATCAGATTCGTGTAACAGCTTTTCTTTTATTTCCAACTGATTTATACCAATAATCAATTTGTCTCTAACCATATTTTCAGTTTCACTGAATTCACAGCTCGATGCCAATGTTCTTAATTTTGTGACATATTCACCAATGGACTGGTCCGGTTCTTGGTTACAAGAATAAAATTTAAATCGTTCGAATATAATGTTTTTTTTTGGTTCGAAATGATTTTTAAACAAAGTTATTACGTTATCATACGTTCTCTTTGTTCGCCGGTCAAAGGTGAATGTATTGTAAATGTCAACTAACTTCTCGCCAGCAACATTTAACAAAATAGCTATTTTTACCTCATCTGGTTTTTCATAACTGCCTGATGCTAAGAGGAATATTTCAAATTGTTGGTAAAATCTTCTTCAATTCACCGCCAAATTTCCGTCTAAACTTAAGTTTTTTGGAATTTTACACTCCATTGTTTTTAAGACACTAACATTTTCAGTTTTTTTTTTTTTTAAAAAAACACCACAATTATTTAAATTACATTAATTTAGCACGTAATTAACCGTTTTAAGACAATTAAATTCACACCTGACACCATGTTGTGGATCCTTTCACTCTTAATTTACAATAACTATTTTAATAAATTAAATAGACAAGTTATTAGAAGTATAACATTTTAATATAAAAAGCACGCGACACAAACCGGTCTCATCGAATGCCGGTCAACGCCTGATAACGACATTATTATAGAGAGTGTACACCACATATAAAGGATCCTATCACTATAGTCTCCCCTCGTGAGAAGAAATCTATATTCATGTTAATATTATTTTACTATGTGGTTCTTTTTGTGGCTACGATTTATTTTGCCAACCCTCACTAGACCTACTTTTTTCAACGATACGTCAAATGATTCATTTAAGTTTATGATATTTAAGTTAATGATTAGTTTAAGTTATTACTCTTAAAAATCAAAAAAATATTCCTTATTCAAATAAAAAGTAGCATAACCAGCTTTTTCCATACAAACAATTAAAATCATTAATTTTTAATATTCTTAAAGTATTTGTTGTCGAATTAGATTTTATATGATAAAAGTATTCAACTACAAAAGTCAATAATTTTACTTTATAATTTATTAATTTTTTAACTCTATTTGTGTGTACTACTACCAGTCTATAATATGCCAAATTTTTTTGTAATATGTTGCTATATAAATCATAAATTAAAAAAAAAAATGATTTTTAGTTTCACCTGAAGTTAACGATGGAGTTTTACAATTATAATTATATTTTTGATAATATGCTCAATTGAGTAAATCTTTTTAACTACTTTGGTTTGATTGGTTCATTTAATTAAAGTAAATTATTAAAATTAATTAAGTTCTGAATATTTCAATTGCAGAATTTTTTTAAACACCAAAAGTTATTAGGATATGATTACTATTCTTTCTATTTCAGTTATCTATTACGATAAAAATGCAAAAAAATCGAATATTTANCAGTTATCTATTACGATAAAAATGTAAAAAAATCGAATTTTTCTGACAAATGTACTGTAAATAGTAATTATAAAATTTCCTGATTGCATATTAATCTTAAAAATTTCATTTTTTTCTATTTAATAATGCCAATTTCAAACTTGCAAGTTGTACTATAAGTTATGGTAGCAAATTCATTTTTTAGCTTCGATGCGAAGCTGAGAAGGTATTTTTCATTAAAACTTTCACTTTAAAAGACAATAAAAAATAGGTTCAAAATGATTACCTTTAACATATTAAAAATCAAAATCAGTATTAATTTAATACAATTTGTTTTGTTCTTAATTATTTTTTTTTTATATGTAAATACTTATTTTTTAATAATAAGTAATAATATTAAAACTTATACGTAATAGAAAAAGTTTAATTACACATTTGAAAACATCACGAAAAGTTTATTTAGAAAAGTATATTTTTTTTCTGATGAAAGTTCCTTTTGTTTAGTGTATTTATTCATAAGTAACAAAATTTTTTTATTAAAAAGTATTGCATAAATTCCTTTAAATTTGTATACGCATTAAAAGTATATGAATATACAACTCCTTTTTATTTTTATAATATCTCCGTAAAAATTACAATATTATATTATTGAATACCACTTTCATACTCAATTTAATTACTGTAATTATTATGTATTCATATATTATAATTATAAATCGGGGTAAAATTAAGGGAATAAATGTTATTGTTGTTTTTGAAATAATCTACCAACTTCATTTTTTTCTATTTAATAATATCTATTTCAAACTTGCAAGTTGAATTAAAAGTTATGGTAATAAATTCATTTTTTTTTTATTAAAACTTTCACATTAAAGTNAGTTATGGTAATAAATTCATTTTTTTTTTATTAAAACTTTCACTTTAAAGAACAAAAAGAAGTAGGTTCAAAATGATTACTTTTAACATATTAAAAATCAATAATAATTTGAAAATAATTAATTATAAAAATTATATAATATATAATTAAAATAATTACTAATCTGGATATAATTAAGGAAATAGGAGTTGATGTTGGGTTGGGTTGGTTACATTTTTAACTTTATAATGCTATAACTCATTGAAAAGTGTATGAATCAACACAATTTTTTTATGAGAAATAATATTTTTTAATAATCCCTTTTTCATTCGACATATTCTTTATCTTAATCAGGATATTAATAAGGAAATAGCAGATCATGTAGCTTTTGTAATTATCCACCAATTTCTTAGAATTAAACACTATCTACAGATTTGTATCGAAGCGTTTCTTATGATAGTGATTTTAATCACTGTCAGATTAAATCTATACTGGACCCAACTATGCAACGTCCCCACTATGCCGCGACCCCACTGTGCTGGGTTTTTTTTTATTAAAATAAACGTCGAGATGTCGATGATGGCGTGAGGCGCGAACTACGGCCGGTGGTGGGCCGGCACTCCTCAAGAAATCAAGTATAACATGAAAACCCCCTTTTACCCCATTTTTAATTTTGTGTAACTAGCACCTCTCTTTTTCTTTTTTTTAAATTTTTTTTTCCTTTATATATTAAAAATCTTGAATAATTAAATGATTAAAAAATGTTATTATATTATACATGGCTTCTTTGTTTTCTCTCTCTATACTTTTCCCTCATTTTTATTAATATTTGTTTTTGTTTTTATCAAAACCTAGTAGCTCCGTCAACAAGTACTATCTTGCTTGGCGCGGCTACTAGGTCACTGTCCAGTGCTCCCCTTGGGCAGTGGGTAAATAGTAGGCCCTCTGTTTGGCTGAAACCTTACAATTTATTTCAACTTAATAACCTTCATTTGTTTCGTAGTATCAATTTTAATTATTCCAGCAAAATTCTTTTAAAATTTTTGTCTATAAAAATAATGATTATTTTTTTCAAAAATTTAAATAATGAAAAGAAATAATTCTAAACAGATAAAGTTATCTAGCCTACAATTAAAAACAATCTATTTACTTCTATATTTGAGCTTCAATGCGAAGCTGAGAAAGTATTAATTTTACTAAAATGTGTTTTTTTATTAATTTTTTTTTGTGTCAGTTACCACTCAATCTCAGCTCTTACAAGACCGATTTTGTTGAACAATATGTCAAATAATCACAAATTGTATTTACTCAAAGACATTCCCTCGTTTCCCGTAAATGGAGAAAATCCCCCAAAAAATTACAATTTAAAAAATCGATAAATTTCGACATTTTTTCAATTTTAAGCTATGCTAATTTTTAAAATTAGCATAGCTTTTTCAAATATTAACACATCAACCTATTTTTTTTATATTGAAACGTTAGATATTTGCCTTTCATTTGATATAAATTTTTTGGAAATACCAGCCCATAGGGTAGGATTCAAAATAGCAACTTCTGCACAAAAATTTAACTTTTCAACTTAAGTTTTGAAAATATTCCAAAAATACTGACACTTATACGAGTATATACACCTTAAATTAAAGCTTACATAATATACTTTATTTTTGAAAAATAAAAATTGACCTCTTAACTTGTCTTTATGGTGAAAGTAGTCACAGTCTTCAAAATGATGCTGTATTTATGTTGAAATTCTGGTTCTTGTATTTTATTTTATTTTAAAATAAGTATTAAAGAGGTATTAAATGTTAAGATAATTACTAATTATCAATTAAGTGATAATTACACAGTAAAATCATTATTAAAAATATAAATTTTCACTTATTTTTTAATTTTCCTAATTTGATTTTATAATGTTTAATAGGACTTGTGAAAAATTTGAATTTATTTTATTAGTTTTAACTCACATTTTCAATAGTTGTAGTTAAATTTAGGTGTTATTTTCTGAATGAATTCGAGCTTTCAAGTATAACATTTTTGGTTTAATTTTAATAAACTATTCAATTTGGATAATATCATAAGGATTTAAAAATATTAATATTGTGAATTTTGAGTAAATAAAAAATGATCAAATTATTGTTAATATAAAAAATACAGGAAAATCTTAATAATACACAAAAAGTACTGTTTCTTTATATATAATTTTCTAATATTTTTATTTTGAAAGAATTTGATGTAATACAATATTAATAAAATACTAATAAAATCGATGCGAGGAAATAACATATAGTCACTATAGTGACATTTCTTACTATTTGAATATAAAAATATTTGTCTTATATTCTACTTCTCCTTCTTTCTCGCCTTAAGCCCAACTACTTAGGGTCGGTCACCCTTATCCTAAACTTCCACTTGACACGTACTCCCGCATCATCTACGCTCACATCAGCTGTCCTTATATCGCATTCAATAGCATCCCTCCATCTCTTTTTTAGTCTTCTTCTACTTCTTCTTCCTTCAACATTCATTTCTATAACTGTTCTTACAGCTTCGATTCTTCTCTCGTCATAACATGCCCGGTTTGGTCATATTTATATGGTTTAGCTAAGTCTATTTTCTCTCATCTTATCTACTATTGCGCTACACCTATATTACCTCTTATATACTCGTTCCTTATCCTATCTTCTCTAGTCAATTCACTCATCCATCTAAGTATTTTCATCTCTGTTACACACATTCTCTACACTATTTTCTTGTCAATCGCCCAACAAATTGAACCATACATCATAGCTGGCCTCACTATAGTCTTGTAAAATTTACCTTTCAGCCTTATTGGAATTCTTTTATCGCATAAGACGCCAGTCGCTTTTCTCCACTTCAACCACCCGCACTTAATCCTGTGTCTTACATCATCGTCAATACCACCGCTCTTTTGAACAACTGACTCTAAATACATAAATTTTTTCACCTCTCCAATCACGTCCTCGTCTATTGTCACTGATCTCCTTGTTTCACCTACCTCGTGTTTTCCTTTGTTAACTCTCTTAAAAAAATTTTATCGAAAATAAAAATATCTCTTTTAAAAAGTACCTAGCTAATCTATCAAAAAAAAATTGTATCCTTTGGAAAGCAACCAAGCAAGCATTCCAATATAAAGTAATTAACCCACCTATTACAAAACCTGATGGGCAGAGGGGCCGAGGAAGTATTCTTATCCCCTATCCACAGAGAAATATATAAATACCGATATTAAAAGATTAATTTTTAATGAAACATTCCTATGTAAAAAAGTTTGACTTTTCTTCTGTGTGATTGTCAAATAAACTTTTTAAATTAAGTTTACATTTAATCGTTAATGTAAAATTAATTACACCTTTGATTGTTTTACTTTACTTATATTTCTTGTATCAATATAAATAGATATTGACTGACGAACAACTCTTGGCTATCTTTGCAAGATTACTCTCATATCACCCGTATTATATCAGTTAACGAGAGATATGCATTTTATACCTCCCGTTTAATTGGTGTAAACGAATGTATTACATACAGTTTCTCATATTCGAAAGATTCAAATGAATAAATTTTTAGTGGTATGTTAATTGATTCCTAATTTTAATATTAAATATTGATATTGTTTTAACATTAAAATGAATATTACAAAGAGATACTATGTTTTATTTAAAAGGAATAAACTAGATTTAATTAACATGAATATGGGTTAATTGATTATTTATAATTTAAAATTAGTTTTTAAATAGAATTTATGTGAAATTTTCACAGCTATAATAATTGAATTGATTATCTATAGTGTTTACAAAAAAAATTTTCAATTCTATCTGAACTAAAACATTTTTAAGTTAAATTCACCTTTTTTATCAAATATTTTCTAATTTATTTTCCAAGTTAACTGTTTTAAACTAAATAATTTTAGCTTTAATTTTAATACTAAACACTATTTAATTGAACTGTTTTATTTATTCTAAAAATAAAATATTATTTTCTGAAGTTAATAATCGGGTCTTGGAAGGAAAGGCTTTTAAATTTATGCCCTTAAAAATGATTCATATTTTTCTCGCTTTTATACCAACTTCTTGGGGTCTGACATCCTTATCTTAACTTCCATTTGACACGATCATTCACAATCTAATCTATGCATTAGCCGTATTAAATATTACATTCAATAATATCCCTCCATCTCTTTTTTAGTTTTCCTCTACCTCTTCTTTCTTCAAAATTAATTTCCATAATTGTTCTTACAGCTTCCGATTCCTCTTTCTTTATAACATGACCAAATCATCTATGACTATTTTTTCTCAACTTATCCACGCTATACCTATATTTCCTCTTATATGTTCGTTTCTTATCCTATCTTCTCTAGTTATTCCACTCATCCATATGAGCATTCTCATCTAAACTACAATCATTCTCTGATCTACTTTCTTGTAGACCGTCCAAAACCCTGAACCATACATCATACAAGACCCGCCATCATACCTTTCCTCTACAATGTTAATAAACTCTTTTAGGATCCCTTTAGTCATTAAAGCCCATTTTAAAACCTCTCTCAGTACATTATCATACGTTTTCTACAAATCTATAAATACCATACTCAGTTTTTTCTTCTTTTCCCTATACATTTCTATTAGTTTTTACGCAAAAAACTAGTTCCATCGTGAATGATGTCTTCTATTATTTTCTCTGTTACCTTTTCCAAATCCTTATACTCATAAGCTTTATATCTCTATAATTTCCGTAGTCTTGTATATAGCCTTTGTCATTAAATATCGGCAACACAATACTATTTTTCCATTATTTTGGCATTTTCCTTTTAAAAAGATCCTTCAATCATCTTATGCCAACACCGACTAATATTATCCAAACTTCTACGCCACTTGATCTGATCCTTCTGCTATATTCTTTTTCATTGATGTTTCAGCCTCCTCTTTCTTACTAATTAAATCTACCAGTGCCTCGTTCAATGAGATATCCTCTAATGTCTCTTTTGCGAACTCCTAATTCAGTAATTTTTCAAAATACTCTGTCCACCTTTTTTTCACATCATCACTCGAGAGTATCCTATTATCAACACTCTTATGTACCTTATATAATGATAATCTTTAAACCTTGTCTCTCTTACTCCAATATTCACAAACAATCTACTTTGCAGTATATACATATAATGTTTAAACTTTTTAACGCGAAGTTGTATCACTACAAAGTAATTAATACATAAAAACATATAAGATTTGATGTGAAGTTCACATTTTTAATATCATTTAGGCTAGCTTTTGCGCACCAGATTATTATAAAATAGTTGACAGGTATCGTTTTGTAATATTATAACATTAAAAATAAAATCTCTATAACCTTATAATATTGAAACATATGCACATATGAAATTAAGCTAAATATTTTATTCAAATTTTCCTTAAACTATAATATACTTACTATACTTTTTTGGTAAGTTCATTGGATTTTGAAAAATAATTAAACATATTTAAAAAAACAGTAGTGCTGTTTGATTAATATAAAAATAAAAGTTTATTATTAGTAAATAGTTATTACTTAGTTACAATGTAATTTTTTGTTTTATTTATTTTATAAAATAATATTTAAAAAGCTGATTAATTGAAAATTCTAACATACTAAGAAGTCAATAACAAATATTATATACATTTAATTGGATTAATTTTAAGTAGCTTTCTTTACTTGTTCATAGCAACGATAATACTCTTTTCCAGATGGTAATATAATTAACTTTGAAGTTGGAAAAAATTTATCGATCTCTAACTTTGATAATTTTTCCGATAATAAAACACTAGTTGAAGTAGGCTAAAAAAATTCAAGAATTATCAATTTCTAAAAATTGCAGTGCAAAATTTCTCATTAATTTAATAATGGCAAAAACAATATCATTAACAATCATTTTTTTTTTTAATTTTTAATTCAATAAAATATTTGTTAGTATATTGTCAAACCTATATTTAAAAGTCTATTAACATATACAATTAACAAAACATATATGCTTTTATATAATAATACATATGTTATTACTTATATATTATAAAAATGTCTATTAACACTAAGGATGTAATAGATAACATAATAAAGCATGTAAACTTAATTAGATTCAATATATCTAGCAACTATGAAATGTAGAGATGAGCCTTTCGAAAAGGTTCCCCTACTTTTTCGACAGTTAAAGTTGTTTATTTTTATACTTATGTACCATAAAACTTGTAATCAGGGTACAATTAAAATATAGGAGTTGATGTTCTTTTTGAAATAACTTAATAACTTCTTTTAAAAATGAAACACTATCAATAGATTTTAATTGAACCTTTTTTATTATAATTAATTTAATCAATATTAAAATAGAATTTATACTTACCTTAAATATGCCACTACTACACCATGCTGCAACCTTACTGTGTTAGTTTTTTTTATATTAATCTATTTAAATATCAATACTTTGTTTATTCTACGGTTTTAAAATCAATTCTATTAAATTAAAATTATAGAAGTAAAGTATATTTTTATATGTGCTACATAGTACGCCACTAAAAAGGAAAAAAATAAAGTATTTATAATAAACGCTTTGTTTTAATTCATTTTTTAAAAGATTATTTGATTTAAAACTTATTAAATGTCAAAACTTGTAAATTTTAAAAATCATAATTTTTTGGAAGATTTCATCGATTTTTAAATACAATGAAAATATTTTCAATTTTTTGAAAGTAATGTTTCTAACTAGATAAGATTTGTAACCTTATGATTTAGTAAAATTAGTCTAGAAAAGTAACTAAGAAAAAGTGATGGGAGATACAAACAAAAAAAACCATTGCACAGTATTTTTTAAGTTATTAAAATAAGTAACAATGTTATGTAGCAATTAAAAAAAAATAAAAACCTTTAGACAGCTTAAACAATAAATTAAAAAAAACCCAGCACAGTGGGGTCGCGGCATAGTGGGGATGTTGCATAGTTGGGTCCAGTATAGATTTAATCTGA